GGAGCATAAGCTTTCGTGGGTAAGAACCTCACTTCTTCAGATGCAAGACTTGCATCTGAAGAAGTGAGGTTCTTACCCACGAAAGCTTATGCTCCCAATACTTCTGTTAGTCTTAAAGGTGCCACAGGACCCTCTGTTGCTTTAAATAATCAGTTAGTCTAACTCAGTGGTTCTCAACCAGGGGTATGCATATCCCTGTGGGTACGCAGAGGTCTTCTGGGGGGTACATCAACTCATCTAGATACTTGCCTAGTTTTACAACAGACTACATAAAAAGCACTAGCGCAGTCAGTACAAATTACAATTTCATACAATGACTTATTTATACTGCTCTATATATTATACAGTGAAATGTAAGTACAATATTTGTATTCCAATTGATTTATTTTATAATTATATGGTAGTAATGAGAAAGTAAGCAGTTTTTCAGTAATAGGGTGCTGTGACACCTTTTTTGTATTTTTACGTTTGTTTTTCTAAGCAAGTAGTTTTTAAGTGAAGTGAAACTTGGGGGTATGCAAGACAAATCAGACTCCTGAATGGGGTACAGTAGTCTGGAAACGTTGAGAGCCACTGGTCTAACTCCTTCAGATTGCAGTCCTGATCTAGGAATGCTTCAGGTCTGCCAAATGCCTCCCAATAATAGCCTGCCCATATTACTAATTGTCTTTAGCTGCTTAAAGGGGGTAGCCATTTTGTTACAGGATTGTTTGTTGGAAATCACCTCCAGCGATTTGTTTGGCTCACAACTGAATAGAACAAGAAGAATGAGAGGGCCTGGTTGCAGGGGCTGCAGTCCTGATTTTTTTTTCTTTTCATTTTGCTTTTCCGACTGAATATTCTTGATAGCTTTAATATGTTTCCTTCTGGCTACCATAGATAGCCCACAGAGACACTGTACTAGAACTGATTGGTTTGATGGAAGTAATTTAGGGAAACATGTTGTGTGTAACTTTAAGTATATCCTTTAGGGGTGAATTAGTAATTCTAGGGATTTCCTTTTCAGCACTACTTAGGGAGTATGATCTAGGGCTTGGTGCTCCTAAATAAGGAGTAATAGGATCTGTTCTCAAGTCAGCTACAGAAATGCTATGTGACTTTGTTCAAATTACTGAAAAATTTGGGCCTAAGAGTTTGAAAATGATTAGTGATTTTGGGTGCCCAATTCTAAACACTGTAATGTGCATTGATTTCCAACAGGGCTGAGTGCCTTCAACGCACTTTAATTTGCCTCAAGTTGGACATCAAAAATCACTTTTGAAAATTTAGGTCTCTGTGCCTCAGTTTTCACATCTGCAAAATAGGAGTCGTACCTGCCAAATAAAGGTGTTGAAGCATCGTTATCATATACTGCGAGTAAATACATTTCTTCACCTAAATTACAAGTAATACTGTAACTTTTTTTTATTTATTTAAAAAAATACAAAACTACTTTATTTTTTTAAGTTCTCTTGAAAGGATCAGAATTTAAATATTGGCCTAATGCACAGAACTGCTTTAATCTTTTAGATAAAAGTTCTGTGATGGAGTCCAAAATTTTCTGCACCTCCGCAGATGGTGCATCAAGAATGATGAATAACGTCTAAAGCCATGTAGTGAAAGAATGATAAGATCCGAGGGAGAGATTCTGTGTTTTCCCTTTGAGAGGCTCAGTACAGAACTCTAAGCTCAGTGACTGGGGGACGGGGAATGGGGCTAAGGGGGCTTTGTCAGCTCTGTGCCTTCCCAGACCTGGGCTGCTCTGAGGGCTGTAGCATCCCCTGGTGTAACATAGACAGTTTTGGGCCCCTGTCTAAGCTGTGGCATATATTAAGGGCCACAGCACTGCCTGGCATATATTAAGAGCCCTGAGCTATATTAAAAGCTACAGCACTGCCTGGAACCACTGCAGCCAGAGGCAGTGGTTTTTTTGGGGGGAGAACGCAGGGTCATGTGTTACCCTCATAGATTTCTGCCTTCCATTTAGCAACAGCTTTGGCTTGGGCCAGCGATCTGGCATTGCTGGCTCGAGTCACCTGGGGTCACTGTCCCCTCCCCCCCCCCCACTAAATGTTTCTCCGCGTCCCCCCTGGGGGCATGCCCCACAGTTTGAAAACCTCTGTTCTCGATCTAGAGGCGACGCATGGGGCAGTTACGTGCCCCCACCCCCGAACCTTTAAATTGTGCTCCCCCTCCCCAATTATCAACAGTTACATGTTGCCTCTGCAGCTGTATGTGCTGCAGCCATGGCCCTGGCATACATGCTACCCTAGAGCTTGAGAAGGCTCAAACTCGAATAACCTTAAGACTGCCTTCTGCAGCGTGTGCGCCAGGAGACGCCTGCCTGGATATGGAGCTTTTAGGACCCCTTTATGCTGCTTCAGCCCTTTTATCTGGCATAAAGGTCTAGATCAGGGGTCAGCAACCTTTCAGAAGTGGTGTGCCGAGTCTTCATTTATTTACTCTAATTTAAGGTTTCGCGTGCCAGTAATACATTTTAACGTTTTTAGACGGTCTCTTTCTCTAAGTCTATAATATATAACTAAACTATTGTTGTATGGAAAGTAAATAAGGTTTTTAAAATGTTTAAGAAGCTTCATTTAAAATTAAATTAAAATGCAGAGTCCTCCGGACTGGTGGCCAGGACCCGGGCAGTGTGATGCCACTGAAAATCAGCTCGCGTGCCGCCTTCGGCACACGTGCCATAGGTTGCCTACCCCGGTCTAGATTGAGAGTGAGAATTTTACTCCAAATGTCTGACTGCCACAATATCTTAACAGATTTAAAAGTAGCCATACTTCAACAAAAAAACTTCAAAAACAGACTTCAAAGAGAAACTGCAGAGCTACAATTCATTTGCAAATTTAACACCATTAATTTGGGCCTGAATAGGTACTGGGAGTGGCTGGCTCACCACATCCACCCTGATTGAATTGGCCCTGTTAACACTGGTTCTCCACTTGTAAGGTAACTCCCTTCTCTTCATGTGTCCGGTGCTGAGCTAGAGCCGGTTCGCACCGGTTCGCACGAACCACTTGTTAAATTTAGAAGCCGGTTTAGAACCGGTTGTTAAAGGGGTGAGCAATTGGGAGAGGGAGGTTTTTCTGTCGTTACATGCGCGGCATCGATACACGCTGCCTTGAGCAGCATGGTAAGGGGGCCGGGCCAGGGTTGGGAGCAGGGGTTGGAGGGGGCGGAGGTTCTGGGGGGGCGGTCAGGGGACGGGGAACGGGGTGGGTTGGGTAGGCGTGGGAGTTCTGGGGGTCTGTCGGGGTGGTGGTGGATGGGGTCAGGGCACTTAGGGGACAGGGAACGGGGCGAGTTGGGTAGGGGGTGGGGTCCTGGGGGGGGGGAGGTTGGGGGGGGGGGGTTGGGGGGGGGGTGGGTGGGGGGGGGGGGGACAGGCTGTTTTGGGAGGCACAGCCTTCCCTACCTGGCCCCCGATACAATTTTGTAACCCCGATGTGCAGGGCCAGGTTTAGGAAGTGCAGGGCCTGATTCGAACAGTTTCGACGGG